CCATTCACTTGATTTGAACATTAATTGGTGTTCCCTCCAGTGAAACACCTCGTCCGTCGTCCTCATTCCACTGTTGCACATCATTATAAAGAAACCCCTTATCAGTTACCAAGTAGTCGTCACTTTGAATGTGATACGAGAGAGACAAGAAATCAAAACGTTTTTCCGTGATTCCTCCCCATCCAAGAAATCGTAAGCACGCGGACGTGCGCTGTGGAGTGAACGGGCTTTCAAAGATGTGTTGGACGGTAACAATCAACTGAGGCTTCACTACACTAATGAACACTCAGGCAAACTTAAGAATTTTCGAACCTTCGTCAAATTACATTGTTCGCCACCGCGCTGACAACACCTGTCAGCCGTGAAAGCCACCAGAGACGCGGAGGGGCGCGGAGCGACCTGGTCCGGCTGGTTCCCGGTTTTTCCGCTTGGTGGCGTCCGTTTTGCTGGAGTCGCGACCGCTCCTGCCACTGGGCCAGACGTACGCCTCGCTGTTTTGCGATACGAGCATGACGTGAGCCACGCAGGTGAGCACCAGAGTTGGCGTTTCTCGAGCAGGCAATTTCAGTATTGAAGTACACATTCGAAAGAAAACTTTGAAGCAAGATATTTACAAAACTACACAAAGCACACACATAAATATTACTTTGTAATTTAGGGACACTTCCAGCCCTACTAAAAAAATTTAAAAAAAAGTGGCGGAGTTACTTTTTGCTTTAGGCCACGGATGGTGACTGACAAAAGCCTAGTCATTTGAAAATAAAAAAAATCGTATCTATTTTGTTATTTACTATTACTCAATGACATCTAAAAGATATTAGAGGGCCGTCCGGAAGAAACATCATTTATTGTTTTTTAAACTGGGGTAACAGTGATCGGCAAAGCTTACAACGCATGCTCACTAATGTCTGCGCACTCACTTCCCCGCAAAGAAGTAGGAACACCAATTATTAGTTTTTTTTTTTTATCCGCTCAACAAGTAAGGAGGAGAAGAGAGCATGCTCTGATCTTTATTCAGCTGCAGTTACAAAGAGGTGTCCACCCCTTCTTTTTTTTGGCCCCGGAGACTGCTCGGCCCTTGGAGCGCGAAAAGGCTCTGCCTTTTCTCTGGCTCAGCTTAGTAAAGTGGGACCATGATTCGTGCTCCGAGCGCACCGCGGAACGGTATGTACGCAGCCATTTCCAAGAGCGTAGGGTGTGACCTATTCGGTGTCATGGGCGCAAACACGCTCTGCTAACACTTTCTAATTACTGTGATCTACAGAAAAAAACCTGGCAAGTGCACTCTAAAAAAAAAAAAAGAAAAAAAAAAAAGAAGCTTGTGCATTTACTTTTCCGCATAACACTCGGAGAGCCAATCACCTCAGCTTACGGAGGCAGCTAAGCGAGTGAAGATGCCGAAACATATGTTTAGACCAAAAAACGCAGTCTGAGTTGTGACACTAAGCAATGCAAGCGTGAAGTGTTCCATTGCTTACTGTCACAACTCAGACTGCATTTTTTGGTCTAAACATATGTTTCGGCATCGCCATTCGCCGAGCTGTGTCCGTAAGTTGCGGTGTTTGGCTTTCCGAGTGCTGTGCGGGAAAGTAGACGCACGGGCTTTTTTGTGGAGTATGGCGTGGCTCAGCTGAACGTTAAAACCCGGAAACATTATATTCGTACATGAAACGTAGTTTTCGTATGGACTGTCCTAGCGGCGATCGCATTTTGGCAGTCCCATTTTTTAAAACTCCATCTCAAGGGCTCTCTGAGTTAGCCCAGCTATACTTCGTTTCAGCTTCGGTCCGAGCGCTGCCGATGTTATGAGCCGAAGGGCCAATCAAACAGCGCAAAAAGCACAACGTCATGGCGTGCTCTCTGCGCTTGATAGGACCAGCCGGTGGAGGAGCACGCACAGAGAGACGGCAAATACCGGCAAGTCCTATCAACTGCAGAGAGCACGCCATGACGTTGTGCCTCTTTCGCTGTTTGATTGGCCCTTCGGCTCATAACATCGGCCGCGCTCGGTCCTAATTGCTTAAACGAAGTATAGAAAATGCTTCCCTTGCCAGTATACTAATGAAAATAAAGCTTTTTTTACTTGTGGGCGGGAACTTGAATAAAAAGCCGCACACGAGTTTTAAGCGCTTCTGGCAGCTGCCTTTCTAGATGTTGGTGAGCTTGACGGCCAGCTACCGTCGCTTGCCGAACGGATAGGCGAGCACCACTCAACTGTTTTTATCGCGTACTGCACCGTAAATCATCCATATTAGAATTTGATTGCAGCGTGGTTTGATGGAAAGTTAGCCCCATTATAAAACCTAGATGTGAACTGCAGCATTGCTGAATTCCAAGAATGACATCCCGGCTGGCGCACCATCCGAGCAAGAGCATGCACGTGAAGCTGATTGACTCGCAGTGTAAGGGACACGGCCGGACTAGATTCGAGCTCTTCTTTTACGAACTGCCTGTTCCATCACAGGTGAAAGAATGTGCATCGTTGATCATTCTACACGGAGGCACTATGACCCAATTATTCTCGCTGTTCCACCCTGCCGTTAGTGGGTTCTGTTTTGCGTCACTCAATGCTTTACTGTTACGTCCTGGATTGCAAGTCGACATCGGGGAAGACTTCTGGCTTGCCTTTCCACCAGCTGCCCACCGATGAATCGCTAAGAACTCAGTGGAAGGAGAGGATACCAAGGGAGAACCTTGTTACGAATGATAAATCTCCTTTTACGGTTGTGGGCAGCAGGCACTTTAAACCGGAGGATTATGTACCGGGATACCACACAAAGAAGCTGTCCCTGGATCCGTGCTCACGGTGTTCGATGGGCCTTCGTAAAACTTAATGCCTGCACCCAAGAAAGCCAGAAGAGAACCTGCTTTCGAAGAGTCGGCATCTGCGCCGAATAGCAGAAAGTTAAAGCTAGATGTGTGTGCTCCCCAAGAAGATAGACCCATCTCACAGCCAGTTTTATTACGCCACCACTGTCACCATGCGTCGCAAGAAATTTAGTCTTTCTGCATGAGCGATAACCCCACTGAGGGTCTGCACGAGCTAGTCTCCTGAACCGGCGCCTGCCTCCTTCGAACTAAAGTTATGGCGGCGTCACGCATGCATGGAACGCTTAGTGAGATCGGTCTATTGTGATCAGACCGAGCAAGATGAACGGAAAGGGTCCCAAGCACGCGCTCCTCTGCCTTTGACTGCATGCATAGCCACAGAAAGTTCTCCTCGAGTACAGACCTTTTCTGCAAGTGCGCCGCCATCTTGAATTGACGTCACTTCCAGTATGGGCGAAAACATTGTTTTGCCTTTGCCACGCCAATAGAAGGCATTTAGGATATAAACGTAACCGTAACACTTTCTCGTTTTGCCTCCCCTTTATTTTGTTACTATTCGCAGGTTGAAACGTTGGATTATTTTTTCATCGCCCATACCGGATACGCCTATTAGGTTGCTGGGGACGAGAGTACACAGAAAATGTCTATAGTTGTGCGATTTTGCGTGCGTGCAGCGATTTTGGCCCTAGAGCGGCGCGATTTCTGCCGTCGCGGCGCTCGTGCAGCTCAACCCCTGGTGCTGGCCAGAGCGCCGGGACGGTAGAAATCACGCTGCTCTAGGGCCAAAACCGCTGCATGTGAAACACGCTTTACGATCGCGCTGCGGCGCTGCTCCCGGCCGCCCAGTGGCGCTTGCAGCCAACTATATATGTGGCAGTGCTGCATTGGAATTATAGGCGCTGTCATGCATCATTCGAGAGCCCGTAAGACCAGCCAGAGCCGTATATATATATATATATATATATATATAGAGAGAGAGAGAGGGTTGGCCATACATTGAAAAGTGTAGGAGGTAAATGAGGAGGCGCCATGGTTCGAAAGCTGGCTGGGCGTGTTCCAGAGCGTCTTCAGAAATTGGAATGTGGGTGGCCAGAAGCCGCGAATAATACCATCGTGGTGGTCACGAGAAACAAAATTAGTAAGTGCGCCGGAGCAACTCTCGGTGACTGAAAATAGGGGTACTTGATTTTTGGATCACGCTCATGCAAAATAAAAATCTAGCAGAACGATCGACGCAATTCGTACACCAGGCGCCGAGGGCCGGGAATCTGCCATCCGAGCGGTCAGACTCGGTCCGAGCGAAACAAAGTATCATAATCTAAACATCAAGTACACAATATTTTCAACCATTGAGGAGTTACTACATTTAACTCTTATACGCTTATTAAAACTGTTTCTCGCTACCACCGCTAGGAGATTATTTTTGGGTTTTGGTTGGTCAAGAGAGCATTTCAAGCCCCCTTTCATCGTCTAGTGCAAGCCCTGGCTCTGCCCGCTCCTTCGATTGACTAAAATCTCTCTATATGCGACTCTGGACAGCCAGCGCGTATCTAGTCCGGCCATGTCCGAAAAGAGTTTCGCACATGCGCGAGTTTGTTTCATTCCTGAGACTGATTCTGTGAAATGTCGTGTTTTGATGAAAGCTACATATATCCATCTATAATGATACCCACTATGAGAACAGCTATGAAACACTGACTCCCTTTCTCGTAATTGAATACCTAAGCCGTACGCGTGCAGCTGCAAGCTTCGGCTTGCCTGCAATCAGTCGAAATTGAGCGTAGTTCGATCTAGCGCTCTCCTCGCTGGCTACCGAAATTGCGGGGCACTCGATCCGTCGTCTTCGCCAAACCATTCGGTAAGAGGCTGGCGCAGACGAGAGGGAGGCCGTACGAGAGCGTCCTGCGGTCGGGAGCACGAGCGGGGGCGACCGGGCCGGCCAGCCGAGGTCCCGCGGGGGAAAGCGGAGAGCGCAGCCTTCCTCCTCGTTTGCCGAGAAGAAGGCCAGCGCGGGAGACGTCAGGGCAAGGCGCGATTCGGGTCAGGTTCAAGAGGGCCCGGTGAGGATGTCGTCTCACGACGGGCGGGCAGGAAAAAGTGGTCACGTGGTCATCCCTCCCCCTCCAGCGCGAATGTTAAAAGACGTCTTGGGGGGTGCGCTGCCTGCATACGCACTGTCGCTATGGATGCGCGAGCTGCCACCCTCTGCTGTCTTCTGGTTGTCGGCGCGCTCGGCCAGCTCACCGAGCCGCGTCTCGAGGCCGGTGGCTGGCAGCCCGTGCTGAGCCGCGCGGCCGCGTCACCCGGCAAGCCGGAGTCCAAGCTCCAGATCCTCAAAAGCGGTGGCGCCCGGAGCCTGCCGCCAAAGCGGGACCGGTCTTTGGGTGCCGAAGCTCGACACGACATCCCGGCCTTCTACGTCTGGTTACCCACCGAGCTGCTAGACCACATTCGACCCCAGGGTCAAAACTTTGCTCAGCTCCAGTCTCCGGCGGAGTATCAGCGGTCCAGGCCAAACTACCTGCCCAACCAGAACATCGACGATATGCCGATCATAGCGCAAAACCCAAACGTGGGCCTCCGGAGCCCCGAGGATGGTGGCTACTCGCTGCAAAGGGGCAAGGGACACTCGTTTCGACCGCCAACTGAACTTCCCAGGCCTCAGGGATACGATATGTCGGGTCCTGGAATGACCGACGATTTGCCTCCGTTTGTGGGTCGCCCGCAGTCGTCCAAGGCGGGTTTCAGCGGTGACAAACTCAGGAGGCCCTCCGGTGGCTACGGAGGAGTTCTTCCGGATAGCCCGAAGACAACGTACAATTTGGGTGCAAAGGACAATGGTCAAACCTTCTTCAAGCCTCCGGGCCAGCAAAGAGAGCACAAGAGCTACAACGGATTCGACTCTGGTTACCAGATGCCCCCTGGACAGGGTACCTTTTACTCGCCCGGAAAGCCCGGAGGTCCGGCTGGGCGGCCCGTTGAAGAGGAGCATCCTGAAGTCAATCAGCTGGACCCAAGGCGTCGTCCGGCATGTAGCCCCGTCACGTCGGCGGCCGCGGCTGTCACGAACCTGGGCAACCGCTCCCTGAGACAAGTGGCCGACAGCCTAGGCGCCGCTGCCTTCCTCGATCGGGTCGGCATCACGGAGGGCGAACTGTTGGCTCTCACTGGACAAGACGGTAAGCGAACGTGCCTCGAAAGCCGCAGGCCCTCTGCTCGTACATCATACAAAAGCTGTTCGTTGCACACAATTTTCTGCGTCTGAAGCATGTTACGAGCAGTTATGCTTCACACATTTGTATGAAGGTGTCTGCAGGCAGATTTTGTATTACCAATCGGATAGGAATGTCTTACAAAGACGCACCTGACACACTGTCTGCGGATTGCCTTTTGTATGATTTATCAGCAGTACGACCTCGACTTTATGCTAACGTCTTCGTTAAGGGCAGCGAAATCAGCGTGGTTTTCGGGAGTGATTGCGGTTTTTTTTCTCCGAAGGGGGTGTGAGAGTTCTGACCAAACCTCCCACCTGCTTCGGCTGCACCTTTCTTGGTGCGGTTTCGTACTCCCGTGCCTTTCTTTCTTTCAAGATTGAAGTTTCAAAGCATACATCGCGGTAATGGAGTTCTTCCAAAGTCAGTTTTTTCATGTTTCGCCATGAGGCATAGCGATGTGAGCGTCTTCTGAAATCATAACTTATTCAATGTTTTCAATTGATATATATTAGGTGCGCGATCTAAAACATATCACACATGGTGCACGATTAACATGAGGTACTTAGCATTTTTAAGCGTCATTTTTAAAAGACAAAGCGTTGATCAGACTTGTAAAATGACGAACTCGTATGAATAATGATCATGGTAAATGAGAGCTTAAGACCGCGTTATTTTTATTTCTTTGGATTGCATAAAGAATCCTGAAAAACAACCGGGTAGCTAATTAAAGATGTCATGCAACGATATTGGGTTGAAATATGTCCCTATCTTTACAAGCTTACTTTGCACTTGTAGGACCCAGACTTGTACGTAATCCGTTACAAGTAACGAAATTACTTGTAATCCCTTACTTTTATCAGTAATTTTGTAACGGAATAATTACATATTTTCTAGAGTAATTTTAAAGTAATTCCCTTACTTTTTTGACGTAACGGATTCCTTGTAATCCGTTACATTTTCTTTTTGTCAGAACCAACCCCCCCCCCCCCCCCCCCCGCCCCCATTTTAAATAAAGGTTTTTTATTTTTTTTTATTTTTTAAAGTCGAGCGCAGTGACACTGTCACGCGAATCGACCAGCGCAAAGGGAGGCTTGGCACTCTTCAGTTCCGCAAAGCTTTTTTTGCAACACCAAGCCCCTGAATCTATCTTTTCTTTTTTTTAAGACCCTAACATCAAGGTCAAAAAATCCAAATGAACAATTCTCGGAAAAAAAAAAAGGGGGGGGGGGGGGGCAAGTTATTTCCGCTTTTTTTTAGTCCCTTTGTTTTTTCTTTGCGATCGAAGACGGGGAGAGGAGGACACCAAGTGATTGGGCGCCTCTTCGATAAGCTCGAGGCGTTAAGTGCACTGAAAAGAATTAACAATGTCCTTCTCGGATATAGTGACTCCGACCATTTTCATAATGCCACAACTGGAGACAACGCTCCGTCTACCCTACCCCTTTTATGAGTCAGCTTTTTGCGAGCATTTAGAAAATGGTAATAGTCTTCCTTTCTTCTTCTTCCTGTTTTGCCCCAGCAGGACTCATCTTATCTCAAGCAGATATTTTTACAAATAAAACATAATGGTAGCTGACGTAGGCTTGATATTCTGGGCTCGAGGAGAGAGTGAAATTCGTGAGTGGGGCCATAGCGCGGCTTACTTAGTACTCTACACTTTGCTGCCCGTGGCTTCAGTGGACGTCAATATGGAGAACACCGGAGTAAACTGCAGTCGGTTCGTGCTCCGTGCGTTTTTGAACGGCACCAAGAAAGGTACACACGGCGAACATGCATTTGCATTTCCCTGTTTTAACCGACGTTATAATTAATTGTTGTTACGAGTGTCCTTCTTTTTCTTTTATTACTTATATTTATATGCTGGAAACTTTTTTTTTATTCACCAACGTCTCAAGTGAGGCTCGAACTGTTCAGAACCAAAACAAGAAGAATATCGAGCCAAACCTTATTTATTATTTAATTATCACCTTACTGTTACAACTATGTTTGGATATTGATGACTTCTACAGCTTCGCGATTTAGAGAATGGAGAATTTTAGTAGATCGGTCCGATGACTCCGATAACGATATCCGATACTTCGCCGCCGTCTTTGCGTATACATCATATCGTTATCGGGTACCGTCATCGGGGGTATCGGATGTATCCGAAGGATCTACTAAATCTCTCGAATAGCAGGCAACGGCTGCAAGGACGAAGCTTTGCTCTACATTCGAGGTAATTAGTACTTCCCTTGCTTCGCTGAAAAAGCTCACTGCAGAGCATGAAGCATTCGCGAGGAACAATATGGCACTCCCATCCAGTGCCTCAGCTCAAATGGTGTTCAGCGTAGCAGTCGACGTATTGAGTAAGAGATAATGCAAAATGTCTGACAAAACATTTGAGAGCCAGCTGTAGCTCAAAATACTCAAGGTCATTAAATGGAACAGGTGGCAAGAATAAGAACTTGAATAACCCTCTTCCCTTTGTTTCTTACTTGAGGACAATAATGTTAAAAGTAACGCCACGAAAGTAACGGATTACTTTTTGGGGTAACGGTCAGTTACTTTCATGGGAGGGTAATTGTAATTGTAATAAATTACAATTTAGCCTTGAGTAATTGTAAATGTAATTCCTTACTATTTTTCAGTAACGTGTACAAGTCTGGTAGGACCCAAGTATATAATCGCACGCAACGTTACTGACCAGGAAGCTTCTTTGTCGCGGTTTAATTTCAAGGATAGAAGCGGACTTTTTCGTTCAGCCTTTCCTTCGCGAAACTGAATGATGTAGTAACGGGGATCGCATTGTCGTCGTATTCATAGGGATTACCGCGTAATTATGATATTAATATGTAGCTAATTGCTATGACACGAGCCCGTGACAGACAATGCCTCGATGAGCATTCGGGAAGTGGCTCGTGTCCAGTCGCTGCGATGGCGGGAATGGCCGAACCTTAACACTGTGTGGAAATCAACATGTGCCCTGTGCTTTACCGACCTCAGCGCGTGGCTATGATGAACATGGGCGGCATTTAATCGACGCCAGATCATAGGGCCACTTGTTCTGACTGCGACTTGAGGGTGTGAACGCTATTTGTTTCTTAGTAACTTTTTCTGCAATCGTCATGGCTTGTAAAGAATAACGCTTATTTCGTAAATTACAAACGCCAAAAAATAATATTAAATGGCACTTGCTAAAAAAAAAAAAAAACGCTTCCATTGCTTTTTTAAAAACGTTTCACAATATCCTTAATGCACGCTGATCCCGTTAAAAACGTCAAAGAGAAAGTAAACCTTGAAATGCGCGATAAGAAAGTGAGAAATGCGTTGGGCTCCGATGATTTGTTTAAGCATTCTGGTACCTTTGCCTTCTAAACTTATGCCCCCTTGGACGGTGTATACGGAAGGTATTAATGGCCGAGTCTGTTAATTCGCATCGCAGCACGGAGCGCGTGGGGTGAAAGCTCGCGCTACAGAACCCAAGTAGTATTCGCGACTCCAGCAAAACGAACGGCACCTAGCGGGAAAACACTGAACTGGCCGGAACAGGTCCCTTCGCGATTTCTGCTCGTCTCTTCTGGATTCCGTGTTTTCATGTTGTTGGGGGTTTGCGCGACCGAACAGTTCTACCGGTGACTGTGTCGTAATCGTAGTATCGCGTTGTGACCCAGGTTGCTCTGCACGCGACCTATGGAACCGCTTGAACCAGACATTCCGCGTTTGTCAATGTTCATCAGCACCGTGGAAGGACAGTGGGCTGTCCTTTCCTCGTTTCTTCGAAGAAAGTCAAGCCTCTGGAAATTCGCTTACCCCAACACATCGCCGCAGGTTCGAAATGTGGAAGATAAAACGCGGGGGAACCAATTTTGAGCCCAATGCTTACTTTCTGGTGCCCCAGCGTTGTACTTTGAGTTGGCGCATGGCACAGCACGACCTGGATTCGACCGCCATATTTACCCGATAGTGGAGTCCCCTATAGGTCGCTGGAGTCGCGAATGGGTTCAATCCCCAGCCCTGTCCATTTTGATCTGAATGAGCATCGCACCGGTGTGCGGTCGTGGATCCCTACTGCACGATGCACGTCTAGAAATTCAGGATAGCAGTCGTACTGCACTCGCTGAATCGCTCATCTACAGCATTAATCAGTGTCGCCACACTTCAAAGGCCGACGACCTGACCCTGTCTAAACAAGAACATCTACTTTGATTTTTGACCCTCATCGTTCGCAAGAGCTAAGTGAATCATTTGTATAATGAGTTTTTTTAATAATGTGTATCCAAAGTCGGCTATTTAAGGTAATCAGACATCTTGCACGGGATTCGAGGGAAATATGAATACGTAAAGTTCTAACACAATGTCCGTTCCAAACTGTGTCTAAGAACCATGAATTTTAAGAGACATTACGAAATTACAAAATTTCAAATCTCACAGGGAGATCCAACGTAGTAATTTTTTTCCCGAAGCGAAAATAAAGTGCAGTCATGTGTCGTTAATATGACCGCCGTTAATATGGATACCACACACTCTAAGATATTTAGGTCGTCTGCTCTTCCGCGAGGCATTTGGGAGAGCCAATTGCTGCGATCTACACTCTAAAATAAGCCTTCGCGTCTACTTACCCGCTAAACACTCAGAGACAATCTCTGCGATCTAAGAAATCAGCTCAGCGAATGATGAGGCGGATTATCCGTTTAGATCAAACAATGAAGTCTGCGCTGTGGCTTTACGCAATGCAAAGCGTCATGCTTGCATTGCGTAATATGCCACAGCGCAGACTTCATTTTGAGGGTGCTCCGCCTCATCACTCGCTGAGTTGATTTCGTTGATCGCAGAGATTGGCTCTTTGAGTGTTTTGCGGATAAGTAGGCGCGCAGGCATTTTTAAGAGAGTACGGAACGGCGAATGACGAGGCTCATGATAGACAACAAACAACGGTCTGCGCTGTGCACTCTAAAAAAAGCCCGTGCGTCTACTTCCCCGCACAA